GGCAGGACCTTCCCACACCCATCCTCCCTGCGCCGCTCGCCCATCAGCCACGAGGGCTCCATTTCGTCCTCGGCCATGTCGCCCAGCTTCTCCCCGTCGCTGTCCCCGCTGGCCGCCCGCTCCCCCGTGGTCTCGCCCTTTGGCATCTCGCAGGGGCCGTCGGCCTCCACCATCAGCACCGAGCACTCGCTGGAGCCCCCCGAGGAGGCCGAGCTCAGGATTTAGAGCTGGGCTCCTGGACTCCTCTGCCCCAGCCTGGAGCCATGGGGCTGGAGCAGGACCCGGCCCAGGGCTGCTCACGTGGGTGCTCCTCTGCTCCCAGCACTACACCTGGCCTGAGCCGAGGGGGCTGTGGGTGCCTGTGTCCTTTGTGGTTGTGGCCCCTGTCCCTGTGGTCTGGCAGACCCCACGCTGGCTGGTGCCCTATGGACTGCTGACCCCAGTGCTGGCACCCTGGGGCGGTGGTCCATGTGCTGCTCACAGTGTCTTGGATCGGCGCCAGGCAGGATGGTGTGTCATGGTACTCAGTTCTCTGGGAGTGGCTGGGAGCAGAGGGCTGCTGGGCCAGGGACTGCAGACCCTCCCCTCCCCAGCCCCAGGGCCATGCAGCAGCCCAGATGCAGGATGCACCTGCACTGTCCCTGCTGCCCCTTCCCTAGGAGCTCCCAGAGCAGGGGGATTGGTGCCCCAGCACTGGTGGTGATGCCCTAGGGCAGAGGGATGATGCCCCGCAGCTGGGGGTGATCTCCCAGGGCAGGGGGATGATGCATCACAGCTGGGGGCAATGCCCCAGGCCAAGGATGCTGCCTGCACATCTGTCTGTGCTGCCTGCAGGGACAGGGGGCTGAACCTGCCTTCTGACCTGGGGACGCCCACCCCACAGCTGGATATGGCAGACGGAGAAGGCAGTGCCAGTGTCCTGCTGCCTGTCCATGGCTGGGCAGGGACAGGGGACCCTTTGAGGTCTCTCCAGCCCTTCCACCACCCACAGTTCAGGTGATGCTTCCAGGGGATCTCTGGCCCAGAGCTGCAGGGAGCTGTTCCTGGGGTCCCAGGGAGGGAGGCGGGTGCCCTGCTCAGTGTGGGAGCCCTGTTCCCTGGGCCAGGTGCCTCTCTAGGTGGGGATTCCAGGCAGGGACAGTGTCTGTGTCCAGACATGGGCAGTGCAGTGGGGCTGGCAGAGCTGTGAGAGGTGATGGGGACACCCAGCCCCAGGAGCAGCAGCGATGGCTGCTGTGACCCCCATCCACCCCAGCCTGGCAGGCAGCCTGCAGCTGCAGGGACCCAAGTAAGAGGGGGTACCCCAAAAAGCCACATGGCCTGAAGCTGGTGTGGTGGCAGCCAGTGTGTTCTCTTACAGTCGCAGTGGGACACTGAGCAGCTGGATTCCCCTGGGGCCTTGTCGCGTGACTGCTCTCTGGGACGGTCTGGGTCACCTGCCCAGAATGTGGGCAGGTGCTCCTGGCCCAGCCCCCTGTGCAGGACTGCTCTGCACCCCTGTCATGCATGTTGTGAGCACGGGACAGAGCCCTCTGTGATGGGGCCGGTCCCTATCCCCTCCCACACACAGCCGGCCATGGAGCCGGTGTCACACTCACACCAGGCTCAGCCCTCACTGGAGCTTACCCTGAGCCCACAGCTGCTCACAGGGAACAGCCACGAGTCAGGAGCCCTGGCAGTGTGGCTGGGGATTCTGCCACTGTGGCCCTGCTGCGCCCCAAGGCTGTGACCCCCACACAGCTGTGGGTGCAGAGCGAGGGCCGGATCAGGGCATGGGGAGCCCCTAGTTCACAGCCAGTCTGGGCATGAGCATGTTTGGGGGTCAGAGAGGACACCCCACACCTGAGCAGGGGCTGAGGGAAGCTTCCTCCCACCACACTTTCCCCAGACCTAGCACATGCATGCGGTGGCTGTAGCCCCAGCCCCAAAGATGTTGCCTGTTCCCCTTATTTCCCACAAGAACCATCTGTGGCTGCAGCCCCATTTGTCATTATCAGTCCCCCATCTCCCTTGTGCTGTGGGGGTCCCTACACCGTGGAGGTCCCTCAGTATTGCACCCCAGTCCCAATGCACAGTGGGTCACAGTGACAAGGGAGAGGGATCTGTACCAGTGACGGGGGCACTAATGGGGCACAGGGTCATGTCCACCCTGCCTGGGATCCACAGGGACCTGAGGGGCTCTAGAAGGGGAGGACACTTCTGCCTTGGTGCAGGGACAGCCCACAGAGGCACTTGGGATGGGCACCCACATCCCCTTTGTCCTGCTCAAGAGCACTGTGGGAACATGTTGTGCTCCCTGGGCCCTGTGAGAGCACTCTGGGGGTGTCTTGTGCTCCTGAGCCCCTGCAGGAGCACTCTGGAGGTGCCCTGTGCCCCCCAGCCCTGCTCTGCCCAGGCTACCCACACAGCCCAGCTCCCACTGCACATCTGGGACAAGGACACAGACAGGTCACCCTGCACACCACATGGAAGGGTCAGACACACGCCCCCCGTTTTGGGCTGGGCTCACTGAGCCCCCAGTTATTTATTTTTACACATTGTACTACGATTCCTGTTTTTACTCGTTTGTACCTTTTGTATCATGTCTCGCGGAGCTGCATGTACCGGCGCTGCCCGCGGCCACGCAGGGGCCGCCCGGCACAGCCTGGACCCAAGTGCCAACTTCTCAAAAAATGCCTTAATAAACCACACGTGTTTGTAGAGACACAGCCCTATCCCTGCTGCTCGTGCTGGGCTGGCACTGCGTCCTTGCAGGGCTGGCAGGGGAGGGCAGACCTGTGCCACAGGGGGTTCAGCATGTGGCTCAGCTGCTGGCAATGTGCCGTGGGCCACAGGCCTGGCTGGGCTCTGGCACCCGTGTCCATGGCTGCATCCTGCAAAGTCCCTTCTCTGACAGGCCGGTGAGGCTGCGGCCCGGGGCTGTCCAGCAGCGAGGCTGATCATGTGTCCCCGTGGACACACACAAACACAGCTGTGCGAGACGTGACTGCGTGTGCACACAGCTGGTCCCTCGTGGGCAGGCCCAGACGGTCCCGCTGCCCCTGCTGCGGTGAGGCTGTGGGCAGGGTTGTGCAGGGACCCAGAGCTGCAGCTGTAGCAGCTGGGCTTGGACACGCCATCTGCCCAAATGGGTGCCTCACGTTCCCAGGATTCCCCCTGCAGACACCTGGACATATGAGCCCGTGAGGCCACAGCCCCATCACAGACACCAGCACACACAGGATCCTAGTGATCCCACCAGTCTGCCCAATAGCTTCAGCTCAGCTGAGCCCTGTTGGATGACAGACACACTAGCAGTTCTCCACTCATCTCCAGACCCCATGACCTGGCTCTATACACTACCCCCCAACAGTCCCCCCCAAACCTGGGAAACAGTCCTAGAGTCTTAGAACTGGAAGCAGCTGTGCAGCTGTCGGGTGTGGGACGTGGCCAAGCCCACACGTTGACCATTAAACACCTACATGTGACCAGTTGCTTCCATCCTACTTTCCCTGCTTTCCTTTTTTTTTTTTTTTTTCTGCTCCCCAAACCACCCTGCTCCGTCTTTGTACTCAGCTCTCAGTTCCCAACACCCCATAGCAAGTCCTGCACAGCCCCAAGCTTCTCTGCAAGTCTCGTCCCCCGGTAGCGTGTCCCACCCGTCTCCGACAGTGCTGGGGGTGGGGGGCAGTTCATGTCCTCCTGCTCTGACGGGGCCGGGACAGCAGCTGCCGTCCCCATGCTCCGACGGGTCCCCTCTCAACGTGAAGGTGAGTGTGAGCCGGGGAGAGCTCCCCTCCCTATGTTCCTGAGGCCCTTCTGCTCCTTTATCCCCCATCCTGACCCGTTCCATCTCCCTGCGGGGGCACACCGGGGCCGGGACCAGCAGGATGCCCTCGGTGCTACTGTCCTCGCCCGGCGTTCTTGGCCTCGGGAAAACCCGGCTGCCCAGAGCAGGGACACACCTGGCCCCGTCTGCGGGAACAGCATACGAGCGTGCCGGGGCGAATGAAGCTCCAGCCAAGGCTCCGCGGAACACCGGGGCTCCCTGGCCCTCCGGGCTCCAGACCGGCAGCAGATGCTCGTTAGCGTGATTAGCTCTGTCTGGGCGCCCTAATCCCGGCCGGCCAGACGGGTCCGAGACATGATCTCCTGCAAATCCCATCCCACTTAGAGTCCACCTCCAAGCTGGGACCACCTGGACACGGCGGGGGGGTGCAGCCCCGGTCCCCGACCAGCGCCGGAGCTGCCGGTCCCGCCCTGCGGCTGGGACGGGGCCGGGTCGGCGGGAGCACGAAGGCGGACACCCCTGGCGCGGGGCAGCCGGGGCCAGGCAGGCGGTTTTCCCATTGTCCGTCTCTTCCTGGCCTGGACTCGGCTCCGCAGAAATGGGAACACAGCTAGGCACTGCCGGAGCGGCGGAGTGCGGCGTGTGGCCCGGCTGCCGTCCTGCAGCCCCCGGCCGAGCAGGAACACGAGCACTGCTCCCCTGGCCTCCCAGCCCCGCGCCCCCGCCTGGCCGAGCCCCGGGAGCACCGGCGCCCCCGTGCCCGCGGGGTGCAGGGCAGCTGGCGGCCCGTGAGGCCCGGACACGCAGTGCGGCCTCGGCTCCCGCTGCCCCGCGGGCCGTACCTAGCCACTGCCCAGCCCAGGCTGTGCCTGCACGGGACCTCTGCGCCCCCACCAGCCCTGAACCCCGACATGGACCCTGGGCCGCATTCCCCGTCCCGCCGTGGGAACGGCCGCGCCTCACCCCGGGAGGCGCCCGGGACAGGGACGGGAACAGGGGCCGGTGCCGCGGCCGGGCCTCCTCTCCAGGCCGCCGGCGAGGGGGGGCCTCTCCGTGGGGACCGTGCCCGGGGCACGCTGGCAAGCGGCCAGGAGGATGGGCTGGGTCTGGGCCCGGAGCTCTGGGCCTGGATCCAGGATCCCCATCCCGGTGCTGCTGGCCCGCCCACCACGTGACCGGCTGGTCACGTGAGCGCTGTTTTGGTGTCCCCACGTGGTCGGGAGTCACGCGCTCTCACGTGACCGGGATGGCGCGGGGGTAACGGGAGTGAGGGATTCCCGGGCCGGGGGATCCCCCGGGGCTCTCCGGTGATGGGAGGAATGGGCCCCGGGCAGGGTCAGGCGGGGCTCCTCGGTGCTGGCGGTGACGGGGACCTGGGCGGTCAAACGGGGCTCCCCGGTGAAGGGAGGAATGGAGAGCGGGGGTTCAGACGGGCTCCCCGGTGTTGGGACTCGGGGGGTTCAGACAGGGCTCCCCAGCCCGGGGGTTACGGGGGTCATGGGGGCCCAGAGGGCTCAGGGAGGGGGCTCTCCGGTCAGGGGGGCTCGGAGGGCTCAGGGGGGAGGCTCCCCGGTGATGGGTTCTCGGGGGTCAGTCAGTGCCTGGTCCGTCCCGGTTTCCCGGGGCCGTGTCGGTGCCCGCGCTCCCCTGAGCCCGTTGCAGGTGTCGGGGGATCCCCGCTGTGCTGGTGCTGTGTGCGGCCGCCTGGAGCTGTGCCGCGGGGCTGGCGCTGAAGCTGGAGCGGGACCAGCCGTTTCGGTAGGTGTGGGGTGAGGTGGAACGGGACGGGGCACTGTTGCCACCCTCGCTCACCGTCCCCTCCTCAGCGTGCCCCCTGGTTGGGCCCACGCCGGCCGCGTGGACCCCGGACAGCCGGTGCAGCTGACCTTCGCCCTGCGGCAACGTGGCATCGCCCACCTCGCCCGCCTCGTCGAGGCCGTCTCGGACCCCCAGTCCCCCCAATACGGTAACAGCCACGTGCCTGAGCCCCCCAGGTCCCCTGGGCCTGTGTGGGGGTCTGAGCCCTCTGTGCCTCCCAGGGCAATACCTGTCCCTGGAGCAGGTCCGGGACTTGGTGCAGCCATCCCCAGTCACGCTGATGACAGTGCTGAAGTGGCTGCAAAGCCATGGAGTGGAGGACTGCCAGAGTGTCACCACCCTTGACTTCCTGGAGTGTCAGCTGCCTGCGAGGTGAGCGCCGAGGGCTTGGACCTGCTCTGGTGGTCCCGTGGTGACTGGCCCTGTGTCCCATCCCGTGGTGACTGGCCCTGTGTCCCATCCCGTGGTGACTGGCCCTGTGTCCCATCCCGTGGTGGCTGGCCCTGTGTCCCATCCCGTGGTGGCTGGCCCTGTGTCCCATCCCATGGTGACTGGCCCTGTGTTGCAGCATGGCTGAGCTCCTGCTCCCCGGGGCCGAGTTCCACCGGTACGTGCAGGGCCAGCGCAGCCTGGTGCGGTCCCCACTGCCCTACGCTGTTCCCGCGGAGCTGGCGGAGCACCTGGACTTTGGTATGTTCCACTTGTGGGAGATGAGGCTGTGGTGCAGCCCCAGCCCCCAGGAGCCCCCTCAGCCTCCCCGCAGCCATGGCTCAGCAGCCCTTGCCCCCTGCATGGGATGGCCACTAGAACCCATGCGAGGGGGTTCTCAGGGCTGGGCTCCCTGAGACCTGCTCCTGGCCAGCCTGTGTGGACACGGGTATGGTGGCGGGGGAGCCCAGGGGCTGTGGAAGGTGATGGGGGAGCCTAGAGATTGTGTTCTACCCTCCTTGGGCTCTGTGCCCTGATTGTCCCTCTGGTCCCACTGCAGTGGGTGGGATGCATCGGTTCCCCGTGGAGCGCATGGTCAACAGAACCGAGACCAGGAAGCACGTGGGGTCGGCGGGAGCATTGTTCCACCTGGGTGTGACACCGGCCGTCCTGCGCCAGAGATACAACATGACAGGGGGGGACGTGGGGCTCCTGCACAACAACAGCCAGGCTTGTGCACAGGTAACAGAGCTGCCCAGATTGGAGGTCTGTGTGCTGGGGCAGTCCTGTGGATTGGTGCTGCTCGGGGGTCCTGAGACAGTGGAGGTCCCTTGGCAGCTGCTGGGAGTACCTGGTGTAGCACAGACTTGTGCTGGGCAACTTTCGAAGTCAGGATCCAAATCTTACCGTATTTTTCAAGACAAACCAGTCTGTTTCTTCACGTTGTGCAGTTCCTGGAGCAGTACTTCCACCAGGCTGACCTGGCTGAGTTCATGCAGCTCTTTGGCAGCAGCTTCGCCCACCGCACACAAGTGGACCGCGTGGTGGGGCGCCAGGGCCATGGCAAGGCCGGGCTGGAGGCCAGCCTGGATGTGGAGTACATCATGAGCACGGGTGCCAACGTCTCCACCTGGGTCTTCAGCAATGCAGGTACCTGGGGGGGGATCCCTGAAGGGTGGGGGAACACCTGAAGGGGAAGGGGAATGCCTGAAGGGGCAAGAGGAGAGCCCCAAGGTGGGGGACAGAACATCCAGAGGGGTGAGGAGAGAACCCCGAGGGGCAAGAGAAGAGCTTGCAGGGCTGTGCAGATACACCTGGTTGCAGTACAGCCCCAGGTGCCTTCCCAGCTGCCTCCCGAAGTCAGAGCTGACACTGGATTCCCAGCTTCTAGGGGAATCACCCTTGATTTGTGTATTGGCTTTGAACTGTGTGAACCTTCAGCATCCAGAGTATCCCGGAGCAGCTGTTGCCTCACCAGCACCATGCAGAGCAATTGCCCCGCTTCACTCTTGTGGAAGAGGGCACAACCATAGGATTTCCTGGCCTCGCTGGGGACGGAGCTGAGCTCTTGCCCATGAGTCTCCCAGTGGAGCAGGGAGAGTGAGGGAATTTGGGAAAACAGATTGCCAAACAGCCTGCACAAACACAAACAGGGCACAGTGCTGGGGGCAGTGTCCCTGTCCCAGATCAGGAACTGGCTGAGCAGGCGGCAAGTGCCCCAGGGACACTGTCCCTGTTCCTGACAGTGACAGCAGCCTGGCACTGTCCCTCCTGCTGCCCCCACACAATTACTGCTGTGGGAAGGGCGTGGGGACAGTGAAGTGGGTGACTGAGAGTGAGTGGGAGTGGCTGGGCCTCTGCTCCCCTCCGGATGGAGAGGGCTGGGGGGCAGGGAGGGACCAGGGCATGTGCAGGTGGAATGTGTGGAGGTGGCATGTGTGTCACAGCACTGGGACACGCTGCCACGGGAGGGGCCGAGGCCCTGCTGGATCCACACCTGACCAGGTGGCTGCAGCCCTGTGACAGAGGCTCAGAGAAGGGGGCATGTAGGCCCCTGCCCTGGGGTTCAGGGAGACCCTCTCGGCAACCCTGTGGGTCAAGCTGGAGCCTGATGCCATCCATGGTGACTGGCCCCAGAATGAGCTCATGGAGCTCCAGGCTGGCTGTGCTGTGAGTTCGTGCCCTGTAGGCAGGAGCTGGGGGGTTTTCAGCCCCCGGTGCTGGCGGTGCTGCTGAGACAGGGCCCACTGCGCTGTCCCCCACCCCTGGTGTCAGGGTAACTGTCCCTGTGTCCCTGCCTTGCTGTCGTTGCAGGACGGCACGAGAGCCAGGAGCCTTTCCTGGCCTGGCTGCTGCTGCTCAGCAACATGTCAACGGTGCCGTGGGTGCACTCGGTCAGCTACGGGGACGACGAGGACAGCCTGTCCCTCGCCTACATGGAGCGCGTCAACGCTGAATTCATGAAGGCGGCAGCGCGTGGCCTCACCATCCTGTTCGCCTCAGGTGTGACCGAGCCCGGCATGGCCTCAGTGTTGAGTGTGGCTGCAGGAGTCCCTCTGGGGATCTCAGGCTGAGGGGTGGCTGGGGCACCACGGTCACCTGTCCCTTCTCCCTCTGTTTGTCGGCAGGTGATGACGGCGCTGGGTGCCGGCGGGTGCACAGTGGGAACCACACGTTCCGGCCCAGCTTCCCGGCCTCCAGGTGGGTGAGGGAGGGAGCTGGGTGCAGGGGCAGTGGTGGCCTCAGTCCCTGTGGGGTTTGAGCCCCCCGGGGATCACCTGAGGGTCCCCACCAGGGCCTGGGGACACTTGCAGACCCCAGGTCTGGGACCTCTGCAGCTCCTGGGGGGGTGTTGGGATTGTGGGGCAAGGTTGTGGTAGCAGGAGAGGCAGAGGGGGCCGCTGAGGCCCAGGCAGCCATGTGGCCACCCATGGTGCCCCCCTGTCTCCTCAGCCCCTATATCACCACTGTGGGCGGCACGTCCTTCAAGAACCCGTTTCTGGTGACGGAGGAGGTGACAGATTACATCAGTGGGGGCGGCTTCAGCAACATCTTTCCCATGCCTGGGTATCAGGTGAGGGTCACCTGCACGGCTGGGCTGCCTGGGGCTATGGGGGGCCTGGTGGGGGATAACGGACTTGGGAGTGACCAGGGGCTGTGGTGTGCGTGACAATGGGCCATGGTAGGGGATGAAAGCCCTGATGGGGGATGAAGGCCGTGGTTGGGCACTGACAGCCTGTGCTGTCCCCAGGCTGCTGCCGTCGGGCGTTTCCTGCGCTCGGCCTCGAAGCTACCGCCCAGCTCATACTACAACAGCAGTGGCCGCGCATACCCCGACCTGGCCGCGCTCTCTGACAACTACTGGGTGGTGACGAACCGCATCCCGCTGCCCTGGGTGTCGGGGACCTCGGTAAGAGCCCGTCCCCCGCCGCCCCGCAGCCCGGGGGCCGTGGGCTGAGCGTGGTGTTCCGCAGGCATCCACACCGGTGGTGGCGGGCATGGTGGCACTGATCAATGACCGGCGACTGCAGCGGGGGCTGCCACCCCTTGGCTTCCTCAACCCCGCACTCTACCAGCTGCAGGAGCGGGGCCTCAGCACTGCCTTCTATGATGTGAGCAGGGCAGGGGACAGGCTGGGGGGGGTCATGGGTGTCCCAAGGGGCTGGGCTGGGCACACCATCCAGGGGGCTGGGGGGCCATGGATGCCCCAAGGGACTGTCCTGGGTGCTGAGGGTCTGTCCTGGGCCTCTTTCTCTCAGAGCCCTGCTTGGGGCAGGGCCAGCAGTGACCTGCTGGGATGGAGGAGAGTCCCTATGGCCTTTCCTCAGGAAGGGTGTCCGGGGAGGGTCCCCACGGGCCTCCCTTGAGCTTCATGGGGCAGGTCTCCTTGTGTGGCTCTGACTGTTTGGGGTGTGCTGTCCCCTGAGGAGACCCTGGGGAGGGGTGGCCTGTGCCATAGGGAGTGCTGGATGGGTCTCTGTGCTGGATTTCCAGGGGTCCCTGTGCCCCAGGGAGTCCCTGTGCACCTGCACTGAGGCCAGTCCCTGCAGGTCACCCAGGGCTGCCACTTGTCCTGCCTGGATGGCACTGTGCAGGGCCAGGGCTTCTGTGCCGGCCCCGCCTGGGACCCTGTCACCGGCTGGGGCACCCCCAACTTCCCGAGCCTGCTGCGGGCCCTGCTGCTGCACTGACCGGGACACTGTGACTGGGACAGGGGGACTGGGACACGGGGATTGAGACACTGGGACACGGGGACTGGGACAGTGGGACACCGGGATTGAGGGACTGGGACAGGGGGACTGGGACACGGGGATTGAGACACTGGGACATGGGGACTGGGACACGGGGACTGGGACAGTGGGACACCGGGATTGAGACACTGGGACACAGGGACTGGGACAGTGGGACACTGGGACTGGGACATGGGGATTGAGACAGTGAGACACTGACTGGGACACAGGGACTGGGACACCGGGATTGAGACAGTGAGACACTGACTGGGACACTGGGACTGGGACAGTGGGACACTGGGACTGGGACATGGGGACTGGGACAGTGGGACACGGGGACTGGGACAGTGGGACACCAGGATTGGGGCAGTGGGACTGGGACAGTGGGACACCGGGATCAGGACACTGCCATTGGGACAGAGGGACAGCAGGATCGGGACACTGACACCGGGACAGCGGGACACTGGGACTGGGATAGCAGGACACAGGACAGTGGGATCAGGACACTGGGACTGGGAGAGTGGGACATCGGGACTGGGGACAGCAGGACAGGGGTATCGGGACACCGGCGCTGGGACAGCGGGATCGAGAAACCGGCGCTGGGACAGCGGGATCGGGACACCGGCGCGGGGACAGCGGGATCGGGACACCGGCGCGGGGACAGCGGGATCGGGACACCGGCGCGGGGACAGCGGGATCGGGACACCGGCGCTGCAGACCGGGGACGGGCAATAAAGCGGGGGCGGGCAATAAACACGTGGCCCCGCCCTTCCCGCCTCTGTGTGTGCCGGCGGCGCCGCCAGGGGGCGCGCGGGGCGCAGGGCCGATATGGCGGGCCGGGGAGGG